AAAGCATTCTATTGATTTCATATGTATTAGAATAGAAACAAAAGTCTGCCAGCATGTCCAGACCAGAATCTGACAGATAATACCTGGCTGAGGTAAGACTGAATTAAGAAGGGAATTCATTATAAGTTGTCTTAAAGAGAAACAGGTAGCTGGGCATGGTGGAACTCGCCTTTAGTCCCATCATTCGAGAGGCAGAGGTAGGCAGATCTCTGTGAGTTCAAGGCCAGCCTGGTCTACCTAGTGAGTTCTAGGACAGCCAGAGCTTCATAGTGAGACCCCGTCTCAGACAGACATAAGAGTTTGCTGGTTTGCATGCAGGACTCAGTACCAGCAGTGATGGTGGCTCCAGGGGCCTGTGGTCTGGTGACCTGGCACTGTACAGAAAACCCAACACAACCACCAAGATGCAATGTGTTTGTTGACTTCATCTCCTGCCCAGCACTAACTTAGAACCTTATCAGCCATATCTCTCACTTGGAAAAACTGAATGTTGTAGTCTTATGAGCATTGCTGCCCCAGACAGAAATGTCTGAATTCTTACAATAGTTTTCCACCCTTGCAGGTATAGGTGGCTTTTGCAAGTTATTTCCAGGCAAGAGCAGCCAATGAACACCGGACTCTTGCTTTCTCTTTCCTCCTCCTCCTCCTCTTTTTTTTAGACAGGGTTTTTCTGTGTAGCCCTGACTGTCCTGAAACTTGCTCTGTAGTTCAAGCTGGCCTCGAACTCAGAGATCCACCTGCTTCTGCCTCCTGAGTGCTGGGATTAAAGGTGTGCAACCTCCAGGGATTCTCATGGACCACAGATGACGGGAGATGCTGATCTTGTCACGCCTGCTGGGATTGACTGACAGTGGTCCTGAGCACAGCATGTCATCAACTTCAGTGACAAGCAGGGGATTACAGCAGCAAGCCTGAGCAAGGTGTGGGTGTGGGGATAGTGGGCCGTGTGGGGCAAGAGGGGAGGTCTGGGCATCTCTGGATGAATGCTGTGAGGATTTAGGCTGGAGAATTATGTGGAGGTCATCATGGAACAAAGAGCGCTGTTTTCTTAAGAAGCCGCCACACTGGTATGACCTAAAGAGGCTGCACATCCATGGGGCTGCTGCTCCATAGACATTGGTTTGGGGCTTTCTAGAAAAACCGCGACTGGCCTCCTAGATTTCTTCCTAACCAAGCTTGTCAACATAGCGTTGGGGGCCTTGGCTGTGATGCCTCCTTGTTTGAGCTCACCTCAGATTCCATTCTCAAAGGGACTGGGGTCTGGTAGGGCTGGGGGCTGGCTCAGTGGGAAAGCCTCTGCCTAGCCTAGCATGTCGAGGACCCCGGGATCCATGCACAGCACAGCAAAACTGAAGTAGTACAAATGGATAGATGGCACTAATCAAGCATTGTGCTTTATTCTTGTCACTTGCACCTGCTCTTGCATTAAACCAGGATGGTGAGTTCCAGCCAGAGAAAGAGCATCACTCAGAAGGATTTGCTTGTGATGTTCCAGTGAAGCATTACAACAAACATTTCCCAGTGGCTGCACACTGTATTCATGGGTAGCTGCCTGGGTATATTTTTTTCATTTTCCATTTGTGTGCGGGGGACACACACGTATGTGAGTATATATGTGTGCATGCCTATGTGTGTGTGCACGTGCGCATGAGTGTATGCATGTCATGTGGAGGTCTGAGATTGATGTTGGAATCATCTGTGATTACTCTTCCACATTATTTATTGAGGCAGGATCTCTCAGTCAAACCCAGGGCTTGCTGATGAGCCTAGTTTCACCAGCTAGCTTGCTTAGGGCTCTCATCTCTACCTTCTAAGGTTGGAATTACAGGTAGGCCACCATGCCTACCCAGAATTCATGTGGGTTCTAGAAACCAAAACTCTGGTTCTCAAGTTGTGTGGCAAGCATTTTAACCACTGAGCCATCTTCCTAGCTTTGCTCCCGCTCTAAATAAGATACCCAAATGCAGTAAGAGCCCCCACCCCTCCCGGTCTCTCTCCACTGGATTTTATTTCTAAGGATTGGTCAATTGGAGGCTGGTTCCAAACGGAAGCTGGATGTTAAAATCACCTGGAAAGCTTGTGGGGAAGCAGGAGTGCACCAGCCTGGCCCTGGGAAATTCAAATTCAACTAGTTTAGGGTGGAGCTCAGTCATCTGTTGTTTTTCAGAGTTCAGCAGATGATACAAATGTGTCACCAGGACTAAGCCACTAATTTTGGAAACCCTCTCACCCACACCCTTCTAGCTGGAGGTTCAAGATCCCACGCAGGGCCCCAGTACCCAGGCTGCTTTATTGGTGAGGGCCCAGCTCTAGCTCGTCTTTAGAGAGTCACGGACCCCATGTGTACCCCAGGCTTCCTGATATGCAGCAGCAGTAAGACCCCACCGAGGCCAAGGACGGCGAGGGCCCAGCATCTCTTCTGTGGTACACCAGTGTTTGACCCATGTGGGCTCCCGTCTTCAGCACTCCATCTGAAGACTGAGGGGCGAGCATGCTGGCCCAGTATGGAGACCTTCCCGGGGTCCACCAGCCACAGGCAGCACCTCACAGCCCCTCTTTCCTTTGTTTTCTGCATCCCATGATACACATAGCAGGAATCCCAACTTTGGGCTAGTAATTTCTAGCTAGGGCTGATAGCCAGAAAGCCTTTAGATTTTCCAGGCCTGCTGGGAAGCCTCGATGTTTTCAGAGAATTTGTTTTTCCTAAAATTCTCTCTGTCCTTGGGAACAGTTTTGTTTAAAAAAAAAATTCTAGAATAACCAAAGAAAATTAGAAGAAAAAGGGTTGTTATGAAGCAATTAGTAACACCCCCAAGACATATACACCAAGCTAGTGCCATTTTTATTACCCAGAAGCTCATTAACCGTGGCTCCTGCTGGCACCCAAGTACCACAGCATGAAGGGTCTTTGGCCATCGCTCACCAAGTGTGGGTCAGGCTAGTCCTTGTCATTATTTCAGGCAGTGGCTGTATCAGGCATGATCAGAGGAAGTGCCTGTAACTTGGGGTCAAAACTGGGCCTTCAGGGCTGCATCCAGGTTGTCTACGCAGGGACAATGTAGACCCCTGGACACCACAATGCTGTGGAGTTTGGCTGAATAGGGAGTGTTCGATACAGACTATGCTAAACAAAAACACCCAAACAAACACTAATCCAAACTGAAAACTTCTAAACCCACCGTGAGGGGCTGGGGATATAGCTCAGGAGCACACTGCTGTCTAGCATGTCCAAATCCCTGGGATCTATCCCCTCACCCTACATCCTCATCACATAAACAGGAACTGGTGCGCACACACATAATCTCAGCATTTGGGAGGCAGAGGCAGGAGGGTCTATTCAAGGTCATCCTCAACAACTATGTAGCCAGTTTGAGGCTAGCCTGGGCTTCATGGGGATCCTGTCTCCAAAAGGAAACAAATGAGGTAAGGGTATAAGTCATGCCCGGATTCCATCACAGCCTCACAGAAACGGGTGTGATGACACAGGCCTGAGAGCCCAGCACTTGGGAGGTTGAGGCAGAAGGATCAGGCAGGCATTCAATGTTTTCCTTGATTAAGTTTGAGGCCAGCCTGGACTAAATGGGACCCTGCCCCCGAAACTAAAAGAAATGAAACAATACCCAAATCACCTTGGAAACAAAAGGTAAATGCAGGCTCACGGAGTCTTTTAATGAGATCAATATTCCAATGGCTCTCAGCTCAGCTAAATAGAGCATTCCAGGCCAAGGGTTTGCCCAGGCTGTATGGAACACTAATAGGTTTCACTGCTCCAGAAGGCCAGAGCTTCCCTCAAAACCCCCAGCTGAGCAGGGACTGTCTCTTTCGCTGGCTTTGGGACCCGGCTTCTCATACTGGTTGCCCTTCCTAGCCATAATACATGGGGAGGAGCTCAGCCTCACTGTAGCTTGATTTGATGTGCCGTGTTTTGTTGACACTTGTAGGAGACCTGCCCTTTCTCGGATGGAGAGGGAAGAGGAGGGGATTGGGGAAGGGGGAAGGGGGCAATCGGGGAGAGGGACTGGGAAGGGAAGATGGTGGTGGGGGAGGCTGCAGCAAGGATGTAAAATAAATAGATGAATTAAAAAGGGAAAACCCAGCTGTTACTGGGCAAAGAAAGCCTGCGCTTCCCATGGATCCTGCTCACATTCTTCCTTGTCGTGGTCCTGGGTGGCTACAGGGAGGTGCTGAGTCGGAAGCTCCAAAGCAGGGAGACACGTGGCTGATGGAACAGGAAGGCTCTGTGTTCCTGCCACTGGAGGGCAGCATGTACATTTAGGGGTCACCCCGACTTCCAGGCTGTCCCTGAGCCCTTTGGTAGCAGGGCCCTATCTCTCTAGAAATGCTTTGTGGCTTTAAAACCTGTCCTCACCTGCTATGGACATTTTTGATGGTGGCTGACAATAAGAAGTGCATTATGCATTACAAATGCCCAGGGGACAGCCAGGTATAACCCAGCATCGAGAGGGAAACACCAGAGATAGTAATAGTTAGGAGTTAGTGTGCTGACGTGCACGTCATCCCAACTAGGAGGATCTCTTAGTCCAAGAGTTCGAGGCCAGCCTGTGTAACACAGGGAGACACCATCCCCAAAACCAAAACAGGCAGACAGTTGGTGCTTATCAGAGCAAGTAGGGTTGTGACCAGACACCCCAAGACGAGTAGCCATGTGCTGTTTTCCTTTCACCTATAATTTTTCACTGTGTCTCACAAACATTTCTCTTATGGCATTAATTTCATTTTTCAGGAGTGCAAATTGAGACTTGTGGGCAGGGGCATGGTCGGTCTACACAGCGGAGCAGGTGATGCTGGAACTGAGGAGCTCCTGGCAGACCCTCCTCCATACTGGGTTCTCGGGAGAGAGAGCATGAGGTTTCTGGGGCTAGAGTGCAGACATCAGACCCCCATAAATGAATCCCTGCCGTTCCACCCACTCGCTTCAATATGTAAAGCAAAGCATGGCTTCTGGAGACCCAGTCAGCTTTTGCTAACAAAACCAAATCCATAGGCTTCCTCCAGCAGCCAGAGCCGGAGCATGTAATCTACAGCTGCTTAAGGGAAGAACTTTCTGGAAAGGGAAGCGACCCACAGCCTGTTTTAATTGTGACCGAACCACATACCCAGGATCCTTGAGGCGGCAAGTGAGAAATCCAAGATTTGGGTGTGAGACAAACAGGGATTAGTGGCAGATCAAGAAAATTCCTTCTCTCCCCACCCTCGTAGGCCAGCCTGTGTCAGCCCTGAGCCCTCCTCCAGGGGCCTTCTGGGAGAAGCACAGCCCTGGAGATTCACAGCCTTGCTTTAAAACTCGGCCACAACTGTTTGGTTCTAAGGTTCGCTAAGGGTCTCAGTCACAAAGAATTAATTTGGATTATATAAGAGCAGTATTCTGTCACTGTCCCTCTGAGTCCTTGTTGAACAGAGAAGCTGCAGATTTTGGTTGACAGTGGGGGTGGAAAAGGCTGTTCTCTGCCCTGATACAATACAATTGGCAGGAGCCGAGATGAGTCAGCCTCCATCCACCAGAGGGATGAGTTGGTCTGCCAGCACTGACCCTCTTGTACTTTTTGAAGAACACTGGGGGGTGCCCAGGGAATTTGAGACATGTCCCCCATGTGGGCTGTGTCCCTTACGATCTCTGCTCACCTTGATCCCAGCTGTATCCTAGGCCTATAGTGATGCCTGGTACAGTGTGTGCTCAGACTGGCCACTGCCCTGAAAACTGCAAGGAGACCCTTTCCCAGCAGCATTGCTTCCCTGAGTGTTGGCAGCTGTTGGCTGAGAAACAGAATCGTGGTGGCGGTGTTCACAAATATCCAGTTATCAGAAGTTTGTGTGTACAGACTGCACTAGAATCTGATTCCCACGGTATACTGTGACTCTTACAGAAAGTAAATCCATAATTTATGCATTGGACAACTACCATCTGTCTGTCTACCTATCACCAGCAAGTCACATATGCATTCATTAATCCATCCATCCATCCATCCATCCATCCATCCACCTATACCAACATGAATCCTCTATCTATCTATCTATCTATCTATCTATCTATCTATCTATCTATCTATCTATCTACTATCAATCAATATCTATATCTATTGGTCTATCTATCTACTATCAATCAATATCTCTCTCTATCAACCATTAATATCTATCAATCAATATCTATATCTGTCTGTCTGTCTGTCTGTCTATCTGTCTCTTACAGAGATTGAAGCAAGAGCCTTGCACACACTTAGCAAGTCTCTACCTCTAAGTGACATCCCAGTCTTCACACTTTTTTCTCTGAATTTGTCCAAGAAACATCACCATTTAGGAAACACTGCTTGATCTCATCATAGAGCAGTCCTCACACTAGTTCCCACCTACTGCACAGGGGAACCAGGCACCAGGCTGAGCTGAGGGTGTGTGTGTTAGTGGAGGCTGAGCTGAG